GTGATTGGTTGAGTTGCGAAATGCTAACGTTGATACTCAGATTAGAATACGTGACAGTAGTCGTATCCTAAAAATAATTAACCCCGACGTCGTATTTCAATTAATAAGATATTAATTTAAATAATAGATTAAATAATGTAGAAAATAGTAATTAAAGTGTTAAGCAACACTTTAATTATATAAGGAATACTTACAATAATTATTTGGAATTACTTGAAATTTCGAAATGGGTTTTCGGTGAACAAGTATAGTTTTCGGTAGGGGTTTTGGGTTTTCGGTCAAGGCTTGAAGACTTTAAGATATTGTTGAATGTTCTTGGTGTTCTTGGTGGATTTTTGAAGATTTGAACATCTTCTGGGTAAAAACTTATGAGTTTTGAGAGAAAAATTCGCAAGGATTCGGTGTGAAAAAGTGGGAAATAAAGTTGAATTCGGTTGAACACACACACACACACACACACACACACACACACACACATATATATATATATAGCATTAGGAATTCAGTCTTAAGGGGTTTGGGCCTTGGGGAATTTGGTCCTAATGGGCCATTTCTATGAGAATTCGGTCATGCCATGACCGAACACACTTACTTGAATTGATTTGGGACCAAACATTACTTTGTGAAAGATTCCTAAAACTGAATTCTATATGTTTTTGATTTACATGACCGGAAATACCTATATATGGTGTTTATTTATGTTATAAACATTTTTCTTTTGATTTATATTACATTATACTAACCTAATTTAACTTAGTTTTTAAACCTAACTTTGTTATTAGCTTATAAATAATCCCTAATGGTTATAGATGCTACAATGCAAAAAGGAGTGTAATGTAGCTTCACTTGTGGCATATTAGGATTTAGACTTTGCTAGGTTTAAAATTTCGAGTTGTGACATCATCCCTTTGTTAGAGGGTATTTCGTCCCGAAATTCGAATTCTGAATGGTATCTCATGTACTAAGGAGAGAGGTGGGTACTTCTGTTCCATATGATCATCTTGTTCCCCAGTGAATTCTGATCCTCGCTTGACATTCTAGCGGATCTTCACTATTGCGTCTGCTATTTCAATTGGCATGGACTGTATGGGTTTGGTTTACTTACCTAAGTTCATTTGAGTGGTAGAGTGTACACTCGTAGTCCTAGGTAGCATTTTTCCTAAAGTTCATGGTAGAACTAATATCTGGTTATTTATCACCACCTCGTGTATACAAGTTTTATATAATTAAGATTGACTAGACGGTCGAATGGGTGACTCTGGCCCCAGTCCACAATCAAACAAGAAATAGGAGATAGGACAGACACACACATCCTAAGTCCATAAAATCTTAACTATATACCACCCTCATGTATACACTTAACATGGATAGGCTAACCGTATTTGTCCCTAGCCTCTGTGATTGAACTTCACTTGCTTCACGCATGGTATTCCCAAAAGGTCTGTTGGGGATACTTCAGGAATTTTACAAAAGATGAGGTACTCCTCACATGAGTATTTTGGAGGTTTTAAGCGAGAGAAGAGTTTGAGGTTCGTATCTGGTTTGTCGTTGTGAGTGACAACAGTTTCTTGGTATAGGGAGAAGATGTCGGAACTTCTTAGTGACACTCGTGTTAAGTCGATTTGGAAGAAGTGGTTGCTAGAACGATAATGCATCTGTGTGCACATTTCAAGTGCATTCTGTTTTACCATGTGTATAATCATTGTGAACGTTTTGTATTGTGTTAAGAAAATACTAGCAGTAAGTGTGTACTGATAGATAGTGATGATACTTCATACTATGATTCCCACTAGGTTCGTCTATAAGCGCTTAGTGTCTACAGCTCACATATAATTAAGGTTGAGAAGACAGTTGACTGAGTGACTATGCCCTAAATCCAAAATCAGACAAGAAATATGAAACAAGGGAGAATCACACACTCTAAGTCTGTGGGTTTTAAATTATATATGACCCTAGTGTATACATTAAACCATCACAGCTTACCTAATAGGGTCTATCCTTTTATATGCATGCTGTAATTTATTTAGACAATAGTGCAATTTATGATTACCATTTAGGTGTTGATCGTTTTCGTAGAAAATTTTTAAGATTTTATTTTGGAAAACATATTGCGGTCTACAGGTGGTTCCGGAAGAGTCTCCCCTGCAGTGATCATCAGCACTCTTCCGTTGGCGCCAGAGCTCTATGTTATCGAACAGTCCCTCCTGTAGTGTCCCGTTTCGCCATACCCATAACAGACATGCCTTACTCTGGTGCATGGGACTTGGGAGATTGGTCGTCCCGGTGCCCTACAGAAATGAGTAGTGTTCCCCTTCCGGAGGAAGTTCTTGTAATTTAACTCTCGACACCCTCCAGTGTGATGGAAGCCACAGTTGTTACACATCAGGAGGTTTCCAACATACTATCTGGATGGTGCTAGATTGGTAGGTGTCGTGGCGGCATAAATGGCAACAATTAGTTGTTCTTCGAAGGGTTCTTGTGTTGGTTGCCTCTTTTTCTTGTTCTTGTAGTTTTTGTTATAGTCTTCCCCTTTCGTTGGCTCGAGAGTAGGAGTCATCAAGCCTTGGTAGACTCCATGGTACGCCAGTGTTTGAGCCAGACGTTTGGCACTATCAAACATGAGGGGTTTCGTCGTTATCATGTTTCCTTGGATGGGAGAAGATAGTCCCCAAATGTATCTCTCTATCTTCTTGCTCTCCAGGGTAACCATCCCAGGACATAACACTTCCATATCACTGAATCTATTAGGGTAGGCAACTATGTCTGAGCCTGCCATGGTAAGGGTCCACAGCTCTTGCTCTAATTTTTGTATCTCACCCCTTGGGCAATATTCTTCCATAATCATCCCCTTAAGATTTTCCTAGCCCATCGCGTTTTCCACTGGTAGGGTCAGTGACTTAACATGGCCATTCCACCATATTAGGGCCCTGTCAGAGAAAGTACATGCAGCAAACATGATTTTTTTCCCTTCTGGGCACGCGCATATCTTGAAGATGGACTCCGTTTTCTCGAACCATCGCATTAAAGTAATGACTCCCCTACTTCCATCAAAGGACTTAGGTTCACTATTCATGAAGTCTTTGTACAAACAATCTCTTGTACGTACGTGGGTTTCTCCTTGGTTAGAGTTGTTCGTACCACCAACCAATACGTTGGCACCACTAGCATGGATTTGAGTCATGACAGCTGTCATTGCGGTTGTTACTGCCGCCTGAAAGACAACCACATCATACTATCGAAGTCGTGGTGGTGGTGTCGGTGGTGCGTTGTTTTTGTTCCTGTTCGACTTCTTTGGTAACATCTTTCTTCCATAAGGTTTTAAAGATGTAATAGTGGTAAGCCTTTAATAGAGGTTACAAGTTAGGTATTATTTGGATCTAAGTTATCTTGGTTCTAATGAGTTATGTTTCGACTTTTATAGTGTTCTGAAAACAATTCAGAATGGGATAATGTCATAAAAAGCCTTAATTTTGTAAAAAAAAAAGCCGGTTTTACCCTCCGACGTGTTTTTGTGTCATTAATGCCGCATACTTGTCTCACCTTTTGCGTTTATGCCAAATACCCGGTTGCAAGAGGGTTTACCGGTTACCCTCTACTTACCCCTCAACTTTTCCCCCCGTTTCTTAACCCCATTTACCAAACGACGAAGCTGGGTTTTTAAAGAAGAACATCACGAAAACAAAATCAGATTTGTACACCAAATGACAACGTCGAAATCAAATTCAAGCTGGAGTGGCACATCAAGAAGGAAAAATCGGGAGATAATACGATGTAGCTGTGGTGATATTTGCCCTATTTATGTTTCACGCACTCCAGAAAACCCAGGACGAAAGTTTCGTGGCTGCCCTAATTACCAGGTAATTGTTGTGATGTTTGCCCTAATTATGCTCTCTCTACTATCGTCCCTTCTTTATGTAATTTTATTATTCTTTTTGTAGGATGAAGATGGTGGTTGTGGTCATTTCAAATGGGTTGATGAAGAAGAAGACGAATTTAGGGCTTTTAAGAAGCAATTGAACCTTCAACATAAAGATATCGAATCTGTGATGTTGCTCAAACTGATTGTAGGGCTGCTAGTGAGTATTTTGGTATGTCTTGTTGCGGTGGTTATTAAGATGTAAGTTAGGTGAAATGATAACTAGTTTGTAGTGTAGTTTATTACATTGGTAGATGTACTAAATCTGTAAAAGTTTGAATGGTGCAATAGTATTAAAGTTTGTATGGCTATGATCTATTTTATCAGTGCTTTTGTGAAAATGGTAACTACACATTCAGCAAAACACAAATTCAAAGTAAGATGCATAAATTGGTAATCAAATGTGCCAATAATGGTAAACATATTCACCATAACACAAATGGGAAGTAAGATGCGTAAATGGTTATCAAATGTGCCAATAATGGTAAACATGTTCACCATAACACAAATGGGAAGTAAGATGCTTAAATGGTTATCAAAAATACTTGTAAACATGTTCACCATAACACAAATGGGAAGTAAGATGCATAAATGGTTTTCAAATGTGCCAATAATGGTACACATGTTCACCATAACACAAATAGGGAAGTAAGATGCATAAATGGTTTTCAAATGTGCCAATAATGGTACACATGTTCACCATAACACAAATGGGAAGTAAGATGCATAAATGGTTTTAAAATGTGCCAATAATGGTACACATGTTCACCATAACACAAATAGGAAAGTAAGATGCATAAAATGGTAATAAAAATTGACAATAATGGGTAACACATTCATCATAACACAAATAAAAGGGGGTGTATTAATTTCATAAGGTTTTTTACATCTCACTAATACGTAGCAGCCATCCAATTGTATCCAAAAACCTAAATAAATTATCAAAAAAGGCAACCAAGTTTATAACATAAAACAAGTGGATGTATGCTGCATTTAGTGGGTGGAATGACAATAATATTTAGCAAAAAGGGCTCCATCTGCCAGTGTTTACCCTCTCCACTACACCCCCAAAACACTTAACCAACTACTCCAACCTAACTGGATTGCTAGCAGATGAACCACCTCCATTTTTGTCAAGCACCGTCTTCTTCAACTTCTGCAAAATGATCCTTTCAGAGGGTTTTCTTAACCTTGTCAATCTAGGGACATCATCAGGACCATCATCATCACCCAAGTGACCATCATCACCTCCTTCTTCTTGTTCACCACCACCATCAACAATACCATCAACATCATCAATAATAGCCTCATCATCATTATCAGAAGGATGATCCAATACATCAGGATGATCCAATACATCTTCCATATCCTGATATTGATAATTACATAAATAAATTAAATTGGAAAAAAATAATGAAAAACACTTACAATAAAGTAATTTCTTACCAACTCAACGGGTAGCATGTCATCCAGTTCCAGTTCTACACCTTCCATAGCTTCAATTTCTTCCATGCTATATCCTGCTTCCAACATCGATGCAATCTATTCAGCATCCAGTTTTACCTTATCTACAAGGACACCATCAGCTTTTCCATCATTAAACTCAACATTACCCCCATAATCTGATTGAGTAGCATCATAGGTTTCTGATTGTTGTTGAAAACCACCCTCCCCTAATATTTCGTCCAACCCCTGCTCAACCTCATCAAGTACTTTGTGTAGATCTAAACCAACCCTTGGAAGCAAAACATCTTCTTTTCCAACATCAACCACTTCAACTTCTTCAACAATATGACAATCTTCAACAATAACATCATTAACATCCCCAGTCTGAATACCATCACCATGACCCCCAGTCTCAATACCACCACCTTCCCCAATCTGAATATCATCACCATGATCCCCAGTCTCAATACTATCAACATAATCCTCATTCTGAATTCCATCACCTTCCCCAATCTGAATACCATCAACAACTTCTTTTTGAGTTGCAGAAACATCTTCTGTATGAGGTGAAGTAGCCTCTTTTTTGGACCTTGATGCTTTTAAAACCTTGGAACTTGATGCTTCTTTCTTTGACTTGTTTTTCTTCTTTGGAGGTTGACTGGATTTAGAAGCTCTTAATGATTCATAAAATTCAGTTGCTTCTTTTTTGAACCTTGATGCTTTTAAAACCTTGGAACTTGATGCTTCTTTCTTTGACTTGTTTTTCTGTATTGGAGGCTGACTGGATTGAGAAGCTCTTAATGACTCATCATATTCAGTTAACAATGGATGTTTCCTTGGTCTGCCTCTTTTCTTTGGTAGCAAGGGTACTACTGGTTTTTTCTCATTCTTACAACTTTTTTGATTATGGCCATACTCTAAGCATTTCCCACATCTTACTGTTCTTGGTACAAATACCCTTGTTGATGAAAACCTCCCCTCTTGCTCACTAGCATGCCTCTTCCTTTTGGTAGTAGGCCTACCTGGCATTCTCCTAGCCAAAGGAGGCAATGGCTTTATGAATCCAGTTTGGCTCCAAAGATTACTCCCATTCACTGGTTTGATATTAGAGGAGTAAGCCTTTTTAAAATTTTCCTTTGAAAAGTACCCGTCAATATATACATCTGGTGTTTGATTGATGTAGTTGATGGCTGCATTTGCATGTACACATGGGATCCCAGACAAATCCCATAATCTGCAACTGCAAGTCCTGCTGTCCAAGTCCACCATATAGCTATCACATCCTCTTCTAGCTTCAAAAACATGTCATTGACTATGAACTACAACCCATAACCTGCATAACTTGGTATAGTAAGTAAGAATAATAAAAAGAAACAACACATGTTAAATTTCTTTTATGCATACCTCATATTTTTCCCAAACAGTTGCATTTTCCTAAGTATAGCAGGACAAACATTTGATTTCCATTTAACATTTTCCTCTGTCATGTGGGAAAACCTGTCCATTATATATATCCTGATCTCCTCAAGCATTGTGATAAGGGGTTTTTTCCTAGCATCAACAATGATTGAGTTGAAACACGCAGAGATTCCATTCTCAACTGCTTCACATGCATAATCCCTATCAAAGTAAGCTGTACACCATGTTTTTGGTTGTCTTGACATCAAGTACTCATATGCAGATGGGCTCAACTTCTTGATGGTTTCCATGTACCTCATAAAGTCACTTTCTACACCACTCATTGATGCAGCCCAAAATAATTTCTTGAACTCCAACCCTGTGTATGCTTTCTTGAAATTGGCATAAACATGCCTGGCACGTTGCCTGTGCTCAACATTTGGGAGTATATCTTTTACAGCTTCAACCAATCCCTACAAGACAAGAACATTCAAGTCAATATGCATCCCTTTTAAATTATATTAACATTTATATAAAATGGAGTATTGAAAACAAACCTTATGTTGGTAAGATATCACCACCAATCCTCTACCATCATGAAGGTCTACACTATCTCTAAGAATCTCAATAAACCAAGTCCAGTTAGGCTTCTTTTAACATCAACAACAGCCCATGCTATAGGATATACCTGGTTATTAGCATCTCTACCAATGGCAGTCAACAACTCACCCTTCACCTGTCCTTTCAGAAAGCATCCATCCAAACCAATTACTCTTCTACACCCTAATTTCCATCCATCACTTAAAGCTTTGAAACCAATGTAAAATCTGTGGAAGTAGTTCTTCCCATCTGGATTGACAGTGACACTAACTTTGCATGTTGAACCTGGGTTGGACCTTAATAATTCATCAGCATAATCCCATATCCTAGCATAATGTTCAGTTAGTTTTCCTTCAATCAACTCAGTGGCACATTTTTTGCCCTACGGACTTGCCCAATGGATACTACACATCTCAACCTTTGTTTGATATCGGCAATCATGTCCCTAAGTTTCATCTTAGGTGTGTTTGCAGTTTTAGTAATGTAATGCCTACCTATCCATTCAGGGGAAACAAGACTTCCAAATTTGAACTTCCTACTGCAACGATGCTCTACAACCAAATTTTTACCTTGAAATGATTTTTCATTGTACATCCATCCAGCATACAATCTGAAAGGACAATAATTCATCTCTGTCCTCTTCCCACATCTTGCAACTAGTCTAGTTTTATCACATTTTTCAAAGTATATCTGATATCCATTTGACACCCCATAATTTTGAATACAAAACTTAAGTTGTGCAGGAGACTCAAACATATCACCTACCTTAGGTTCCATCTTATCCCATGGTGTGTTTGGATCATGAATTCTGTACTTATTCTTCACCGCCTCTTGTTCACCTTCTTCATCACTTTGCCATTCATTAGCATGATAAACTTGTGCTCTGATTTCATCAGCCATGCTTGAATTCCTTAAGTTTTCATCACTAACTAGAACATTGAGAAAGACGTCCCTACATTTATCAAGCGCAGTCACGAACTCATGCTCTGGTTCGTGATCCATATAAATACCATGGAGCTCATAATCCATCTCATTTAGTCCAGAGAAGGGCTCGTATATACTAGCAAATAGTTCTTTGAAAACGTCATCCGATGAAGCCATTACAGTTACCTGCAAAATCAAAAAGATTTTACAAACAAAATCGAAGAATTTTAACTAGATAATTGCTTTAATCATGGATTTGAGAAACTTACTGGTTCAACAACTCAACGAGACTATCACCCAACTATCTTCCTGCTAGAAAAACGATACCAACAATGTAGACCTAATCCTCTTCAAATACCCAAATTTCATGATGATTCCCTTCCAAAAGCCTGCGATTGAGTTGACGCTTCGGAGAGAGGGTGTGGAGCTCTATGTCTAACGTTTACCCAACGGGGTTAATTTCTTCATTGGTTAAGAAACGGGGGGAAAAGTTGAGGGGTAAGTAGAGGGTAACCGGTAAACCCTCTTGCAACCGGGTATTTGGCATAAACGCAAAAGGTGAGACAAGTATGCGGCATTAATGACACAAAAACCCGTCGGAGGGTAAAACCGACTTTTTTTTTACAAAATTAAGGCTTTTTATGACATTATCTCATTCAGAATAGAGGTCTATGCAAAATAGACTTATGAATTTTTGATAGTGACCACCTTCTTAGTGAAGTTATGTGACTCGGTGTTACTATTACTAGTTGTTATGAAAGAGGCGGTAAGCCCAACACATAGTGTGAGCAATGTAATCACTAACTCACTAGGTAATATAAGTTTATTAGTTATTAGTATAACGCATAAGGTGCTCTGTCGTCTCGCATGATTAGCGAATGATTCTTTCTTGGAATCCTCTCAAGAAAACTATTCTTGTTCTTTCTTGGCTCTTCTGTTAGCTGATGCACTAGAGTGGCTATACCTACCTATGTTGTTGGTGCGAGAATGGGGATGTCTAAAGAATCTATGAGGTTAATGAAAACATTTCTATTGAATTCATTCTGGTGGTCCTTACTGGGTGTTCCTATGATCACGCGGTGTATGCAAGTCGTATATAACAAAGATCAAATATACCTTTGAATATGTGGCCCTACTCTAAAACCCCAACCAAAGAAGGAACAAGTACTAGAGTGAAGATCACAAATTCTTAGTCTACAAGATCTGAATTATATATAACCTGGAAGTATACACTTCATAATTGTAGACCTGGCAGTAAGGTCTTTTAGTTTTTACATAAGTTGGTTATAGTGCCTAAACATACTCCTATAGTATTTTAATTGGATGTTTGATTCTCAAGTTTGTTGGTATATGTACTTGGTAAGTTTTCAGACTTGTTGTGATCTTATAGTACCATAAAATACTCTTATAGTATTTTAAGTTTATGTTTTGTTCTAGAGATCCTTTGTATATAGTGTTGGTAAGTTTTAGACTTGTTGCTACACCACTATCATTCCCAAACACATGTTGGTGGTATCTCAAATAAATATAGTTGATCAGGCTATATTTATCTCAAATATGATTACATAACCGTCTAGGTTTTACTATAGTATCCAATATCTAAATACTTTTGTTTAGTTCTTCTTGTGATACTTGTTCTAGTACATATGCTTGTTTGTATACTTCTCATAAAATACTTATATTTAAAAAAGTTACTTTTAGTCAGATCACTTTGGCCCCATTGTATTTATAGTTGTATATTTTTTATGGGTTGATATACTGAGTTCACTATAAACAATGCTCTGATACCAATCTGCCACACCCGCAAATCGGAACGACGGAAATGTTTGGGGGTGGAGGACATCATGTATAATATCATAACAATTGAATAATAGTAATCAAAGCAACAACAACCATTGTATTAACAATATAGTGTTTACATTGTATTTGAATCACATATGATTGACTCCCAAATGTAATTGGCAAAACAAAGACTTGAAGCTACTATGCTCCATCTTCTAGAACATGTGTGAGTACCTGTCTACTAGTTCCCTGAGAATACAAGTGGTTTTGAAAGTGACAACATTAAAGTTGGTGAGTTCATAAGCATTTGTTTGGAAAAAAGTATGTTCTTTTTTCCTTGAAAACCTTAGTATGTTCTTCAAGAAAATCCTATATTTTTATGATGTGAAGTAAAGTATGAAATGTGTCCCATGATAGTTCCTTTTACGAGTACTTAGTGTACACCAGTTATATACAATTTGGATCAAACAAAAACTCGACTGTGTGGTTCTTTCCTAAGACCAAAACCAAACAAGGTACCGGAAATGAGGCGGAAATCACACATTCCACTATCTGTCGGAAAATTTATATTCACTAGGTACTTACAAAGTTAACTGTAATGGTCCTTTTAGAAATGTAAGCATATTCTTCCAGAAAACCCTATATTTTCATATGTAATGACATGTACATTCTCTTGACTCGTAATTGGAAAAGTAATGTAATATAATTGTATTTGTAGTGCGACCCTTTTTGTATGCATGTACCATGTTATACGTTCTTTCAGGAAGGTATGTTTTGTACTGGAGAATAGTGTGTTGTACTTGCATACAATAAACGGTGTGAATCTGCTCTAAGACCACAACTAAACAAGGTATAGGAAATGAAGAGGAAATCACCCATCCTATAATTTATCGAACCCTATAATTATAAATAACCTTTGACGCATAGGCTAAGAGTTCATAGTGTTAACATTATAGGTCCCTTTTTATTTGTACACTCATGGTACTTGTAAAACTGTGTGGTCTTATTATTAAGATAAAGACCATGAAGTAGTGCTAATCCCATAAACATCGTTTAGTTGATACTATTGTGAGTTTCATATAACCATACTAATTGACTAGTGACCTCTACGATGTTCTTCAAGCGTTGGAACGTTAATGTCGTTTGTTAAAAAGTTCCAGAAATAGTGTTGTATACCATAATTATTTAGTATTGTACTCTTGTATTTGAAACCGTATGTATAAAATTGTAATGTAAAATAAGTATACTTAAATAATTTTTAGTATTGTACTCTTGTATTCCGGAAATAGTGTTGTATACCATAAACTATATCTACCATAGTTGATAAGTTTGTTTACATATAATGTTCCTAAAGTAGTGTTAGATGCCATTTTATGCATCTTATAGGGTAGTTTTCATTAGCATTTATGAACGTATTTCGTACATTTGCATGTGATTTATTTAAATAATGTCAAGCTCATGTCTTTCATTAGAATTCCCGTACTACTCATTATATAATGTCAATTTCAGATACTTCGAGTGGAGTAGTGCTTTGGGAGCAGTTGGATGTGTGTTTGGAGCTTAAAATGGAGCTTCAGACTTATGAAGAATTATGAGGAATGTTTGAAGATGCCTGGGTCATGAAACATTCGATTGAATTGATCACACAAAGATAAAATATACAATCGAAAGTTAAAGGATGTTGCTGGCAGCTTTGACCCCCTGTTAGTATTTTGACCATATCTCGAGATCGTAACTTTGATTTACGAGATTCAAAATGATCTGAAAAGTAGACGAAATATCGGACGTCATAGGCACAACCTGCGATCGTAGGTTGTCTCCTTGTGATCGCAGGTGACCCTTTTTGCGATCGCAGGTTGGCTTCGTGGTTCTTTTGTGCCCAAAATTCATTCGGAAGCAAAAAATGAAAACCTGTGATCGCAGGTTGTGTACATGCGATCGCAGGTTGGCCAAAAATTTCCAGAATAGCATCCTACTTCATTAAAAAAGGCTCGGGATGCGTTTATTTCAAAACCTATGATCGCAGGTTGTGTACATCCGATGGCAGGTGCGCCTTTTTTGCTGTTAAATGTATAAATTGACCTTATAACCTTCCAGTAACCTAAGTTGTCAATTCCAAAGGTACTAGACGATGAAAATACGGTTTTGGAGGCTTTTCTTCACTGATTTCAACGATTTCTGAAGATCTGAAGACTGTGGATCATCTCCTTTAGTGAATTAGTAAGATTAGTGGTTTGATGTCTCTTTTTATCTGTTTTGATCTTATTTTAACCATATTTGGCTAAACCCTAGTTTTTCAGTTCTGCAAAGTCAAGTACTTTTCATGTGATTGATCATTAGATCTGGTTTTTGATTTGTGTTTCTATCTAGATTCTTCAGTTTTGTTCTTAATGAATGTTTGATTTTGATTCTTGTTAGTTTGATGACCTAGCTAGGGGTTTATCATTCCAGTTAATCAGTTAATAGAATTCGTAATTGTTCTTGTCAACTGGTAAAAGTAACAAGTATCAGATTGGTTCCGTGTTTGGGATTTGACTCTGATATAAACTGTAAAAATCATATCTTTACGCTTCCGAGCTTGTGAGAAGTATTGGGTATTGTTGGGAATTTTACAAAGAACTTAATGCAACTTTTCTGATCTTAATTAAGAGCTTGTTTGATTAGACAGTAAAAAGTTAGGGTTAATTGAAGAGCTTGTTTTGGTTAACTAAATAAGGTAAAAGGTAAATTACTAGAGCTTGTTAGTTATTCTCAGTACCAGCTTAGATAGAATGCATCTCAAATAACCAGGTCAATGTTGATTGCATGATTACGAAGGTCGCAGCAGTGCTGAAATAGTTTTTATTATTGATTTTCATTTAGTTTAATATCACTACAGTTTTAGTTTTTAGTTTAATTCAAACCCTCTTTTTACATTTTCTGTTTCTTGACTAGATTGTGCCTGATGCAAAAAGGCATTGACCATTAGGCTGTGTCCTTGAGGATTCGACCCTACTTCCCTTTGCTATATTTTTAGTGCAACCAGTAGTGATAAATTTACTTGTTTAATATGCGAACGACAGCGTGTTAACAAATTGGCGCCGTTGCCAGGGACACAGTGCTTTCTAATAGTTTTATGCCAAGAGTTTTTCGTTCAGGTACACCTTTAGTTTTTGATCCAGAAATCGAGCGAACTATAGGTAAACTAAAGAAAGAAGTAGCAAGAAAGAAAGAATCAGCTATTCTCTTTGGTTCATCATCTTCCATACCCCCAGAAACCTACACACCACAAGGCACTCCCTTATGGAATGAATCATATCTGTTTTTTCCAAAAGTACCCAATCTTCTCCTCAAAATAGCCCATATAAAACTTACTCCCCACCCTCTTCCATTAAAACTGAAACCACAGATTCTTC